CTTAAAAAACGGCGCTTTTTATGAAGTCATGGCCAACTATGGTTTCCATTTAAAAAAAACATATGTTTGTGTCATATGTCAAAAATGACAGGCTTTAGAAGAAAACGGAGGGCACAGTCTCATTAAGGATGTGATTATCTACAACTTTTATCTGAAAACTTTTTGTCTAAAACAGCTTATAATGGAGTTAGGGACAATTTTTAAAATAGCCGAAATTTGTTTTTTCCGAAATATCTAGTAAGCCATGAACTTTTTCAAAAATCTGAAAGGCGCATATTCATGACCCCACAAAACTGCAATTCTTTTCCCATTTAACCGACTCTCTATCTCCAGTAGTTTCCGAGATACCCATAGAGAACATCGTAGGAAACTCACCCTGTATTTTAAATTTTGGGGTTTTAAAATCGATCTAATTTAACAAAAAACATTCAATATCTACTAATAGTGATGTATTGTTATTAATGTTCGAAAAATTATATTTGCAAATAATACAGCATCATAGAAAAAAGGCGTCAGAGATGGCTATGAAATAAAGATCGCTGTCATTTTATATGTATAATTATTCTAAAATTTTTGATTTTCTTGCGATTTAGGTTCGGGAAAAACGCTGATTAGGTAAGTTTTCATTTGGTTTTCCATTATTTTTATTTGGTTTAAAAAAACGTTTCGGCTAACATTATAGCCTTCATCAGTGTTGTGTCATATGAAAAAAATAGTGTCGAATATAATCGATACTACACACCACACACCACACACCACACACCACACACCACATAATGTTTACTGCAATTTATAAACTAATATAAACTAGTCAAAAGATGACCACATATTTTTAAAATTATTATTCTTAACACTAAAACTATCTACATTGACTATGGAGTACGATTTCAGCCATATTGTAAAACATTTGCTGCATTTGTATGGTTCATAGTTGATTTGCCAAAGTATTTATTACTAAAAATAGGTATATATATTGTATCTATTAACTGTATATTATGTATACAGTACGTCTGTCCGTTCTGTAGCTACGGGGTATCCGTGAGAGGGGAATAATCAATCAATAAAAATTCGACAAATTTGCAAGTAGCCAATAAAATGTGTGGGCGGAGCGATTTGCGGTGACGTACTCGTCAAGTCGACGTATAAAATATATTGCGGTTTATTTAAATGTTTTTTGTCCGCATTCCTTTCATAGACACAGATCCAGCAGACGTACTGTATTTCATGTAAACTATATCATTTTTAAAATACAAACCTAAAATACGAGGAATAATTATGTTTTCCATGTATTCTACAACATATTTATTAATCCCTAGTATCTAACTAGCGTGACGTCATAAATCTTGCTCCGAGGTTGTTCTATTAGAGACAGCATTGCGTCAGCATGGCCGCAAGTTGCTAACCTAATAAAATTAACACTAGAAAAGCCCGCGGGAACTGTCAAATTCAAAGTTATTCGTTTCACAGACTATAGTAATTTTCAATTAGTAGAAAAAGTTATTAAACTTTTAACTTTTTCCACTTATTACTTTTTAATACTTCAAAATTTGCGTGTAGTGTCATTTTGATCTTTGAGACACGGCCTTGAATTTCAGCGGCGAGACGTATGCGAAACGGCCGTGACGCGCGAGCTAGCGAGAGGAGGAGTGATAGCGGCAGTGTTGCCACAGCTACCCCATTGGGGGTAGATCTGCCCCTTTGTAAAACAATTTAACCCCGCTATCTCGTGATAATCTACCCCGATTAAAAATAAGCTTGTGGCAACACTGGTTAACGATCTGTGCCATACGCGGCTAAGTAAATCACTATAATAAACTTTATATACTGTACTAACCTGGATTTCGTGCATATTTTCATCGGTAGGTTTGTAGCTTCTTAATAACGCTCTAGGTAAAGCATCTAGCTCATTTGTCAGCTCAGGATTAGAATTTAGAGTTAGTAACTCGCATTTTCATTGGAGGACACTGTCATATTTATTTCAAACCAATAATCAACGAGAATATTCGTATAATTTAATAAAATTACTATAAATAATTACTTTTTTGTAACTCAGCTGTAATTTCTGTATTATTAATCCGGTAAATGATGAAGATAAACAACTGTGATTGATTAAAATTTTATTTTAAGATGAAACTTTTGTTATAGTCTGTGAAACGAATAACTTTGAATTTGACAGTTCCCACGGGCTTTTCTAGTGTTAATTTTATTAGGTTAGCAACTTGCGGCCATGCTGACGCAAAGCCGTCTCTAATAGAACAGCCTCGGAGCGAGATTTATGACGTCACGCTAACATAATTATTCCTTATATTTGACTATGGCTGAAATCGTACTCCATAGTCAATGTAGATAGTTTTAGTGTTAAGAATAATAATTTAAAAAAATATGTGGTCATCTTTTGACAAGTGTATATTAGTTTATTAATTGCAGTAAACATTATGTGGTGTGGGGTGTGAATATTTTATATGCAATTTTTTGGATTATATTCGACACAATTTTTTTTATATGACACAACACTGATGAAGGCTATAATGTTAGCCGAAACATTTTTTTTAAACCAAAAAATAATGAAAAACCAAATGAAAACTTAATCAGCGTTTTTTCCAAACCTAAATCCCAAGAAAATCAAAAATTTTAAATAATTTTACATTATAAAATGACAGCGATGTTTATTTCATAGCCATCGCTGACGCATTTTTTTCTATGATATTGTATTATTTGCAAATATAATTTTTCGAACATTGATACTTGCAAAATATATGTACATATAAATTTTGTGAATGCAAATAATAATACATCACTATTAGTATATATTGAATGTTTTTTGTTAAATTTGATCGATTTTCAAACCCCAAAATTTAAAATATATTTTACATTTTGCCCATTATCTTATGTACCTATTCATTATTTGTATATTGTAAAACATTTGCTGCATTTGTATGGTTCATAGTTTATTTGCCAAAGTATTTATTACTATAAATAGGCATATATATTATATTTATTAACTGTATATTATGTATATTTCATGTAAACTATATCATTTTTAAAATACAAACCAAAAATACGAGGAATAATTATGTTTTCCATGTATTCTACAACATATTTATTAATCCGTATCTAATTAGCGTGACGTCATAAATCTCGCTCCGAGGCTGTTCTATTAGAGACGGCATTGGTCTGATATTTAGAAATGTCAAAAGCTGACAACTTTTTTGACAATTATGCCATTTCGAGAAGAGGGGGTGACTTGAGAACTGTCACTTGTTTTATTATTTTCCTTTTCTATTTCACCAAAGTAAAAAGAGTTACCTATCTGATTCGTTCAGGCACTCAATTTAAAGAATACTTAAAGAATATCAGTAACTTTTTTGATAGAGGGATTTTATATTTGCCATGTGGGTAAAAAATAACGGTCAAAATTCAAAGTTATTCATTTTATAGACTATAACAACATTCTGACACATTGTTAAATAAAAACTTTTTATTTAACGATGAATTCTTTGTAAAAAAGTACTGGACTTAGTTTTTATCTTTTCGATAAGTTAATACGATAAGATACCGAGATACAAGGAGAGTCGAAAAATGCAACAATTTGCCCAATTTGTCCTGTATTTCAGGAACTCAGGGAGCTAGAACAAATCTGAGTGTAGCAGCTTTACTTTCATAAAAAAAGGGGTAGAGTGATGTGAAAACCGCATCTTTGGGACACCCTGTTCATTTATTAATAAGAGATTGGATTAGAAAATCTTCTTATATTTTTAATTAAACTCAAAAGACGTAATAAACTACTTTAGTTGAATCATGCAAAGCATGTCATAAACAAGATATTATTTAGCACTTAATTGTTAATCAAAATACTATTTACGCGATTTAAGATTGATTCTACTGAAAAACTTTGACGCACATTCATAGTAGCCTTTTGAATATTAAAACAGAAGTTGCATTAAAATTATAGAATTAATTTAGTATTAAATTACGTTATTTCACGATCTTAGTTCATTCAGAATAATGAATCAGAAAAAAAAAACAATAACTCGAATATCAAGCTTAAATATGACATTTTTTCTATGAAATGGCCTGTTGACGTGTTGGCAGTCTAATTATTTTTATAAAAAAAGTATTTTTTTTTCATATTGAATATTTTAAAATATTTTGTTTTGTGTTCTTGCACAAGTACATAACTGATTGTTTATTGTTAGTTATTAGTAAATTAACAAATCATTTAATAAATTATTCATAACAGGAAAACGTTATTTACAACTACTTTAAAGCAAAATGAGTTTAATATAATAATTACTTTTTTATTAATTCAAATTATTTTTAATTGTCTTGTTATGAACAATTCAGATGAATTGTACCATTGACAAATTATTTATTTTTACTAAAGTCGGGTTCTCACTTGCCTGTTTAACTGAAGCTTAAAAAATACTAGATACGCTACTGAAACATCTATATCAAATCGAAGTACCCTACTTATTTTTGACAAGAGCTAAATAAAAGCAAAAATACAAAGAAAAATATATAATTAGTTAATTCTAAGTGAATTCCATAATTGACTAATATACTTCACTTAATATTATACAGGGTGAGTCTTAAATAAGTGCAAATATTTTTAGGGGTAGTAAAAAATTTGGAATTTTTTGAAAGACTTTTTGGATTTTTTTTAATTTTTAGTTAAAAAACATAATTTGTTGATAATATTGTAACATAGGCAGTAGATTGAATTTACAAGAAAGAAAATCCAGAAAAGACCCAGTGGTTCTGAAAATTTTAGCAAAGAATAATTTTTTTATTGTTGTTTTAGAGTTGTTTTATTTTCAAAATAAAACAACCCGGTTATTTTGAATTTATTTGAAAAACAGTAAAGAGAAAATATGTTTCTTTTAACGACCCTGTATAATTACATCTCAGTGAAAAGTTATATTAGGTTAAGTTTCATTCATATTTGTCTTGAAACGCCTTGTATACTTACAAACTTATATTTTTCTTTCTTTTGATTTCAGGATATGGGAACTATTCCACAACTGTCGATCATAAAAGGGCCTACTAGGCCTCTGAATCCAAATTTTCTACATAAACTCTTCGAAAACGTTGCCAACGGACCTTTTGGACACAACACAGCATTAATCTTTAACGGTAAATGATTATTTCAATGACTAATACTATACGATCGAAAAAAAAACGGCATCAAAGGAGGCTGAGGAATCACAATCAATGATAATTTTGGTGAGATCAAGCCACAGATGTATTTACTTGGCCTGTACTCTTTTTCAAATAGCGCTTACTGTCCGTTGGCCTTAAGAAGATTGTAATTTATTTTTATTTTGAGTAAAAATTATTTTTAAATGGTGTAGTTTAAAATTCGAGATTTTTTTTTGAAATAGATTTGTGTGTTTGGAAACGTTATATCCTTTTTTAATCTTTCTATAATTAGTTTTCATTTTTGACAAGTCAATTTTTAGTAAATGACGTCTAGACATTAACCTCACCAAAATTATCATCGATTGTCATTCCCCAGCCGTGTTTGACGCCGTTTATTTATCGTATGGTACTTTTTTATATTAAGCTCTAAAATTAATCTTTGAATTCTTTAATAATCTTTCACAGAAAATGAAAGCTTAAAGCAACATACATACCAACAAGTCGACAAATTGACAAATCAACTGGCCAGAACAATTCAGCAATCAATCATCAACAACAATTTACCTAAGAACCAAGATGGAGACTACATCATCGCTGTCAATTTACACCCTAGCGATAGGTGGGTATATTTCTGACAGTAAAAATTTTAGTTTTCTAATAATGTTATTATTACAGCCTTGTGATTACACTGCTGGCAATATGGAAAGCTGGATGTGCTTATCTGCCTCTGGATCATGCCTTCCCTGGTCCCAGAATAGAGCATATTTTAAGAGAATCCAAGCCAGTTATGGTAATATATGATGAAGGTAAGTGTGTAAAAATTTGTAAAGAAAGTGAGAAATAGAAAGGGAAAATATGTAATATATGTTTTACTTTATTTGAATATACCTATTTTTTGTTAAATGTATTAAAATTTTCATACATTTGATAATCTGGATTAATCGATATAGTACCTAAATAAAAATACCCTGTGTCTATTCTTAAATTTAAAAAATAAAAAATAATTTTTTCCATAAAATAAAGGAAATAAGTTTATCAGCAACTAAATATTTATTTCAAATTGTAATTCTTCAACAGTTTTTCAAGTAGGTCATTTATATGCGGTGATGCGTATGTATATTATTGCCTATTTAAGAAAAGTATTGATATAGGTCAGGGCAATGATAGTTTCATGAGAACAAGCATCTTGAGACGATTCTAATTTATTAGTCTACCTCATTAAATTATATTCTCAGCACGCGGACTTGCTAGCACTTGTCTGTTTAAAGAACTACAAGTAGTATACAGGGTGTCCTTAAAGAGTACAGTCATTTCGGGTAATTTTATTATCCCATATAAATTCATAATTAAAAGTTTTTTTCTACAAACGTCAATAAAAATGTAATTTTTAACGCATGCTCTCAGTGCCATGTAAATGTGACATTATGTCACTGATGGTAAAAGCCATTTACTTTTAGCACTGGTGCTAAAACTAAGTCACGTGATCTACTTTTAACACTGAAGCGATAATTGAAAAAAAATAAGAAAAATCAAGTCAACGTAAAATAATTATTTAACCAAATTAAATGTACAATTAGTGAAATTACAATTGGAATAAGTATTCCAGGTCAAGGTATTCCATGACCAATTTCATTTATAGCTGTAGCACAAGTAGAAGTTATCTCTGACGTGAATCTTGTACAAAGATTAGAAACAATGGTAGTATCCGCTGAGGTTCTGGATAAAATTTGACCTGCAATACTCGTTTTATTTCGTAAAGAGTCTTCTATATAACCCTCCGCTACGGTACTGAACTTCCGTCCACCGTGTCGCTTAATTGTATTAAGATTAGCTCCAGAATCTGCCAGCAAACTAGCCGAGGATCTTCGGAAGCAATGTCCAGTATAAAGATGAGAATCGGGCAAATTTAGAAATTTAGCAATGTTGGCAGGCATCTTACCAAATGTATTGATTCTAACTGGAGTCGTGGCACATTTATTCCTAATATATTTTATAAATATTCTTGAATAGTTGATGGTCGCTGGACGGAGAGCTTTGTACTTTTTGTAATAATTCAAATATAACGTACCAGTAATAACAAATGTTCGTTCCACATTAGTTTTTGTATCTGAAATATGCACGATTAATGAAGTTCCTACATCCTCGATATTATTTAATTTCAAGTTGCATACTTCTTCACGACGGCATGCTCCAAATATACTGAAAATTACGGCAACTTTTTTCATAAGGTATATTTCATCCAACGCCTCTGCAAGAAATTTGTCGATCTGTTCTCTGGTTAATATTTTCGACTTCTTTGGACGATATCCCTCACCTTTTCGCTTTAAAAAAGCAATAAACCTGTAATATTTGCTTATGTCCTGATTGTTAATCTTTATCATCGTCTTGACCATGGAATAATTTGACCAAAGCGTTGACGATTTCCATATTTTGGACTTTTCTTCGAAGTATGCCAAAAGTACTTTTTCACTGAACTTGCTAGTTTCACTAACATTTTTTAGGTCACACCATCTCAAAAATCGATTATATGAAAACTCGTACTGATCCTTGGACTTGCTGCGTAATAAATCAAAAGTAATTCTATTAGCCACTTCTTCAATTTCTGCTGGGAAACACTCAGTTTCTTGATCACTTTCTATCATTTTACAAGAGTTGAAGCTCAAATTTGACATTAGTTGACAACAAATGATCGAATGTTGGGAATCTTTCAATTACCCTAGCAACCATAAACTTCATAATTAATATGATTTCAGAATGACATATTATGAATTATTCATTAACGTGTTCATTAACGTAAAAAGCCATAGTAAAAAGTCATAATACCTTGATATATACGAGCATAAACTTGTTTGTAGAAAAAATAGTGTATGATACCTATGTGTGCTAAAAGTGATTTTATTTTGTTCGAAGGGATGGGAGCCAATTCCAAGCTTCCCTTCTCACAAAATAAAATACCACTTTTAGCACTTTGTAAAATCGCTTATTTCTAGGGCTTACTCAACCGGGTCTCACAATGCAAATTCACCTCAAATATCCATTTAGTTGGTCATTGGCAAGCAGGCTCTCATTGTACATGAAAATAACAAAACAAACATTTAGTGATCTGGATAAAATTGATAGTTAAATAGTAAAACTCACCCGGGGGTACTCCGCCCCCTAGCCACTGGTATTCTATTCAATATATCCCATTCTTCCATCTAATTCAAATATTATTCGGATCTATTGGTTAATCTTCAACAACTAGCTGGTGTCATCTGAAATAAGTATAGGGGCTTTCCCCGGACGCAAATCTGCAGCTAAACAGATTCGCATCCCTAATAGTCAAAAAGACTCGTATCCTTAATAGTCATAAAGACTCGAATCCTAGTACTCAAAAGACTCGCATCCTTAATAGTCATAAAGACTCGCATCCTTCGCATCCTTAATAGTCTTAAATACTCGCATCCTAATAAGCTTAAAGACTCGCATCCTTAATAGTCTTAAATACTCGCATCCGAATAAGCTTAAAGACTCGCATCCTTAAGAGTCTTAAATACTCGCATCCTAATTAGCTTAAAGACTCGCATCCTTAATAGTCTTAAATACTCGCATCCTAATAAGCTTAAAGACTCGCATCCTTAAGAGTCTTAAATACTCGCATCCTAATAAGCTTAAAGACTCGCATCCTTAATAGTCTTAAACACTCGCATCCTATAGTCAAAAAGGACTCTCAACCTTAGTCCAAAGACTCGCAACCTCCAAATGTCAGCTCTGTGACAAAATACAACACAACACCAGAACAACACTACTTAATAGCCAGCCGTCCCGTCTACTACTGACTGACCTGCCGCGCGCCGGCAAGCTAAGCCTCCTCTTACATCACATTTTTACCTGATCACAAATATTTACATCGCTTGCCAATGGATCATACTATTTTCTCTAATCGACTTTCAAATTAATAGAGTGTTCTAGCATTGCTAGATAAATAAATAGAAAGTTTCCGAATTATAAAACCATTATAAAACTTATATCATAAATAACTATTCTAGTGTCAAATTTTACAAATAAATAGCTAGTAGTATTATTTAAGTCTCCTGTAAGAGTGAGACAACAAAACAGATTATGAAGTTATAAAAAAAAGGATATAGATAAACATGAACTTTCGTGTAGTCAAAAAGAAGTGGAGAGACTAATCCTAAAATCACGGTCTTTTTGCCGAGGAGCAAGGGGAAAGTCATCACCTACCTGACGAGAGTGCTGAGCCTTATCTAGGCTCAGAAATCCAGTGTAAGGACATCGAGTTGGCGAGTCATCAACTCGAGGGAGGAGGGTCAGGTACTCACAATAATAATTGACCTCAAATCCAAGAAGGCAATAAAGAAAGAGGAATATATTCTCTATTATAGATACAGGTCAACACCGGTATCAGATCTAAGGAGAGACCAAGTTAAAGAGGTGGAGAAAATGGAGACAGATCCTCAGAGGACACCTCAGCCAAAGGCAAGCTCCTCGACTGTGAAGGGCACGGAGGGCCAAATTCCAACCGTGGAAGGGTGTATACCCTCGGAGGAAGAACATCTGTTGTTAGAGGAGGATGTGAAATACCCTGTCTCCCCTACAATAAGAAAATGTATGATGGGTTATAGACTGATAATAAGTTATAACTCAGGGAAGGGGGGTACAATAGATTTTTAAGGTCGCAGTAATTAACACCCCCTCTCACTCAGTCAGACTCATTCTACAAACCCAGTTTTCGACCATTTATTACTTTAAATGTCACATTTGACAGATATCCGAGAGCATCAAGTTATTTTTTTGTTATTTTTGATCTAATTCAATACATAAAATATCCCCAAACGAAAATTGGACCCAAATCAATTCTTATTATTTAAAAATGACGAGTTTGCGCCACCCTGTATGTTCCGGGCAAGGAAAAGCAATCAATCTTCGCGTTTTAATAGACATAACTCTTAAAACTTTTTCACCTTGGTATTTCTTTTAGGAAAAAAATCACTGCTTATAGTACCAGCGGTATAATAAAATGGTTCTTACATGGCTATTACTACACTATTTTTTGCATACGAAATAAATTTAATTATTTTGTCCTTAAATATATAGGCAGCGAGAAATACGTATACATAGCATTAAAGACAATTTTTTTATTAAATTTATATTTCCTTGTATTTTAGATTTTTTCGAAATATATATTATAACCAACAAGTTAAAGTCGTTTGAGATATATAGCACTTATTAGTTATGTTAATAGAAACAGTTATTACAAATTAAAAAAGGGTAGTAATAAGTTATGAGCTTTTCCTTAAGACATAAATTTTACTTTGTGTAATACCGGGTGCGTCTCAAAAGTGGCTCACCCCTATAACTTTTTTACTTTTTCAGATAAAAAATTGAGATTTGGTATATTAATATATGACATAAATTAGGATTGATTGACGTATTCAATTGTTTTCTGTCACTTTCTGTTTCGCCGGAAATGACTACAACTTTTGATTTTTAAATGGTACCCTCGGTTTTTTGTTGCTTTATTCGATAGAAAATGATACTCTGAATAGAATGACATACCATATGTCAACTTTGACATTTTAGCATATGGTTTATTTGGAATTATAACATGGAGTTCATAACGATAACTTGACTCGAAATACCAAGTGTGTGGTATCAAATTATTCGTAAAAAATGCCTTTTCCAAATATGCTAATGAGCCACCCTCGTTCCATTTGAAAAAATTGAGATGTGATTCAAAATACGATTTGGGCATTTTTTAACCAGCCAGGGGCGCTATTCTGTATAATCGTCGGTATCGGTAAGTTACCGACAGCTATTGGTACGTATTTGTATATAGTAAACATGTGTTGATTGTTGTTGTCATAGTTACCGATCGGCCCTATGACAGATATCGCAACTTTGTACCGACGACTCTCGGTATTTCTACCGTGAGGTTGACAAGGGCACGGTAGAGATACCGATTTTCGTCGGTACAAATTTGGGATATCTGCCATAGGACCGATCGGTAACTATGACAACAACAATTAACACAGTGTTGGGAAAATTCGAATTAAATAATACGACTAATTCGATAGTAAATTAAAACTAATTCGAATTATCTTTTTCGATATAATTGAGATAAAAAGTAGTATTTTATATTATATCTGTGGTAACTGAATTACAAATGAACATAAAACATAACCTCTTATGGACGAATACGAATATTAGTAATTAGTATAGTACTATTAGTAGTATTCTTTCGTTCTGAACGAACTGAAAATTTTCACTTAAACTGATTTATAAAGGGAATCGACAAAGAAAGGAACGATCCGATATAGAAAAATCCAGAAATCATTGTTAGTCAAAAGTGGAGAGACTAGGCTCAGAAATCCGAATAATAAGTCATCACCTCGCAACGATGATATGCCGAGCCTCCTATCTAGGCTCAAATGTAGCTCTTGAGACATCGAGTTGGCGAGTCATCAACTCTCGAGGAGGTCAGGGTACTCACAGCAATAATTGACCTCAAATCCAAGAAGGCAATAAAGAAAGAGGAATATATTCTCTATTATAGACTACAGGTCGCTTACCGGTGTCAGATCTAGAGAGAGAGACCAAGTTAAAGAGGTGGAGAAAATGGAGACAGATCCTCAGAGGACACCTCAGCCAAAGAGTAAGCTCCTCGACTGTGAAGGGCACGGAGGCTGCATTCCAACGGTGGAAGGGTGTATACCCTCGGAGGAAGAACATCTGTTGTTAGAGGAGGATGTGAAATACCCTGTCTCCCCTACAATAAGAAAATGTATGATGGGTTATAGACTGATAATAAGTTATAACTCAGGGAAGGGGGTACAATAGATTTTAAGGTCGCAGAATTAACACCCCCTCTCACTCAGTCAGACTCATTCTACAAACCCAGTTTTCGACCATTTATTACTTTAAATGTCACATTTGACAGATATCCGAGAGCATCAAGTTATTTTTTTGTTATTTTTGATCTAATTCAATACATAAAATATACCCAAACGAAAATTGGACCCAAATCAATTCTTATTATTTAAAAATGACGAGTTTGAGCCACCCTGTATGTTCCGGGCAAGGAAAAGCAATCAATCTTCACGTTTTAATAGACATAACTCTTAAAACTTTTTCACCTTGGTATTTCTTTTAGGAAAAAAATCACTGCTTATAGTACCAGCGGTATAATAAAATGGTTCTTACATGGCTATTACTACACTATTTTTTGCATACGAAATAAATTTAATTATTTTGTCCTTAAATCTATAAGCAGCGAGAAATAGGTATACATTTATATTTCCTTGTGTTTTAGATTTTTTCGAAATATATATTATAACCAACATGTTAAAGTCGTTTGATATATATATAGCACTTATTAGTTATGTTAATAAAAACAGTTATTACAAATTAAAAAAAGGGTAGTAATAAGTTATGAGCTTTTCCTTAAGACATAAATTTTACTCTTTGTAATATACCAGGTGTCTCAAATTTGAGCATGAAAAATGGGACATCGGAAACTGTAGAGATACAAATGAAGTCAAATTATGGTAAAGTATCGCATTTTTATATGTATATGTATGTATGTTCCAGTAAAAGCTAGAAATCTGTGAATGTTATTGTTTATTTTTCCTGTACAATTGCAATTTATACTGGGTGTTCTTTCATTTAATTATTTGTTACAGATTCAACTTCTTATATGGATACGTTCAAAATATCTTTCAATGACCTCATGCAAAGAAGCCTGGACCAACCAAACGAAACTCTAAGAGAAGATGAAATAGTTTATCATACTAAAGACGATCTTGCCATCGTTTTATATACTTCAGGCAGCACTGGAGTACCCAAAGGTACAATAAATTGTTTATTAACTTTGTTTAATACATTTCAAATCATAAAATAAGTAAGAAAAGTATTGTTAACCATATAAAACTGTCATTTCAGGAGTCAGATTGCCTCACAAGGTCATCCTAAACAGGTTACAGTGGCAAATCAAAAGGTTTCCTTATAGTCAAACTGAGAAAGTGTGCGTTTTTAAAACGGCACTGACTTTTGTTGACAGTGTCAGTGAGATTTGGGGTCCTCTGATCAACGGATTGACTATTCTGGTGGTACCAAAAGTTCTGACAAAGGATCCGGAAAAGTTAGCTAACCTGATCGATGAGTACCAGGTAATACAAAGAAAAATATACCATTACTATCAAATTACTACTATACTATTACTATAGTACCAACCTCAAAGAAATCGGACCAAAATTGCGTAGCTATATTGTGTATTTTAACGTATAATGATAAAAATAGTCTCCAAAAAATCCTATAATATTTCACCACTGCAAGAAAATCTACAAAATAAAATAGTTATTTTTTGTAAACACTTCTGCGTTAATCCAAACGGAAACTACTTGTCAGAAGTCTATCTATCGTATGGCTAAACATCACAACAAAACATGGAATTACAATCACTGTAGAAGTAAAGAGCAGGAAACAAGTATGTGTGCAAACAATAATAATAGTCTGACAAGAGTCCAAAATGTACAAACGAATATACATATAACAAGTATTACAAACAAACATTTAAATTACGGATGTATTCGACTGCACTGTCTGTAGCTTCCAGGAAATCATCAAAGGGACCGGAATAGGATCTTAACGGGCATGCTTCTACTACGTGCCGGATAGTTTGTCTGCCGGTGTTGCAGTCGCATTCTGGGGAAGCTGACTTTCCCCATTTAAACATAGAATTGGCATACCTCCCATGATTTGTCCTTATCCGGTTTAACGCAGACCATGTTTTACGTGGCATGTCAAAGCCCGGTGGGTTCTGAGTTATAGCCGGCATGTTCCCGGCGTGGTCTGGTAACTCTGATTCCCATTCCCTAATCCATGACTCCGTTAATTTAAAACCGTCCCGGAGTAAGCTGCTTGCGGTTGTTAATGTTGGACGTCTTGAACGAAGTCTGTTCCTATCCAGGTCATGGACATCTAAATGTATCGGCAGTTGCGGCATGTTAGTAATTTTAGTGTATTCTCTAAAAAGTGCATACTGCCTGCGTATATGTGGTGGAGGAATATTACTTACAATAGGAAGCCATTGGGTGGGAGGTGATTTTATTGTTCCTGATATGATACGCATTGTGTTGTTCAATTGGACGTCCACCTTTCCTGTGTGAGAACTATTGAGCCACACCGGGGCACAGTACTCAGCAGTAGAGTAAACCAAACCCAGCGCAGAGGAGCGCAAGGTACTCGGGGATGACACCCACGTGGTGCCGCATAATTTATGAAGGATATTATTCCGAGTGTTGAGCTTAGCTGCAGTTTGTGTGAGGTGCTTCTTAAAGGACAAGGTCCTATCTAGTGTAATGCCTAAATATTTTGGGGTGTTGTTGTGGGACAGCCAGTTACCTTCAAACCTTATTTTAAGTTCTTGGTTTGCTAATTTATTATTAAGATGGAAACAACTAACTTCCGTCTTTACCGCGCTCGGTTTGGTACACAACTGGCGACCAAACAATCCCATCTGGATCTCTTGGTCAATTGCATCACTATGGTACAAGCTTGTCAGAAGTTAGGTGTACAGATATACAAATTTGCCTAACGAACAAAAAAATGCTTAACGTTTCGGAAAGTTTATCTCTTTCCATCGTCGGAAGCAAAAAAATACAAAAAATAAAGGAAAAAACTATTTAAAATATTTAAATTCAACTATTCAAGAACACTTTAGTTTTTAAAACAGATCCGTCTACAAAAACTGTTGACGTTCTGTTAAAATGACATTATATCAAGTTAAACTTCAAAATTAACAATTACTACCTGATAACAATTACTCAATAAGGTAAAACCAAAAAGCACAAAAGTTTCTGTATGATTATTTTTAATTTTTACATATGTTATGTTTATTTATGTTATGTTCTTTAAAATCAAAGAAGCGATTGCCATACATTACTAACATCTACAGATGCATGGGCAATACATTTATTTATTTTTATTAGATTGTATTAAAAAAGCCTCTTTTATTTTTCTTTTAGAGGCTATCGCTTCTTTCATTATAATTTTGGCGTTATTAAAATTTATTCTGTGTCCTGTGTCCCATGAATGCTGACAATGCTTAGATTTGTGAAAATCTCCCTTTCTTAAATAATCTTTATGTTCTTTAATTCGAACATTTAAAGGTCTAGATGTTCCATACAATGTAAAATTTTTCGCATTCAAATTATTATTATTATTTTTTTGATAAAAATAGTGTTTGACTATTTTTGAACTATTTTAAATAACCAGTTGGAAAAAGAACCGCACTGTAGACACTGTCTTACAGTGTAAAAATTAGTTTGGATCACCCTATATCTTATGAATAAGTGACAGAACAATTTTGGATTGTCATTATTTTGGTTCCAAATTAAGTAAATAAATATCTTTTACAAATTAACATTATTTTTATACAAAAAAAATATATGGTGTTAAAAAAATTAATATCATCATAATTATCCAGTAATTAATATTTTTGTAATAATGTAGATAATCTCATTATAAAGCTCAGATTAAAATAAGATAATAAATGAAAGTTAAAATATTTTCAATGTCAAAATTAATTTAAGGCTGCAAGGATAAAAAACCATTAATGATCAATGTTATGGTCGTTGATGTTTTAATAGCATGTTGCTTAATTAACGCATTACAGCATTCAAGTCAATTAGTAACTTCAAGATGAGATAAAAAAATCTCTCAGATGTTTTTTTGGGTGTATATATTTATTTCAGGTAGGTAGATGAGATGTAAAGTTACATTTCTGAGGTAAAATTACATCAACAAAAAATTGTTTATTTATTTGTTACCTTGTATTTTTGAAATGCTTAAATTATTTTATTTAATTTGTATTATACAGGGTGTTTTGTAAGTTAGACAAAAATAATGAAAATAAATTCATATTATTATTATTTCGAAACTATTACGAATTAGAAAAAAACGTTAACAAAAGGACAGTATTTCTAACATATATTCTAATCAGCATACGTAAAGCTACTTTTACAGGGTGTTAAAATTACTATATATTATAAAACAACCTTGTATATAGTTTTCTTACCATATATTTCAGTAACAAAATATTATTGAATTAAAATTTAATCTTATTGTGACAAAAATTTGATAAAAGACAAATTTATTTGATGACTATGTATGTTTTTTTCGAACATAAAAGCATTTTTTAGAAGAAAAAAAAAACGCTTGGTATTAAAAAAGGAAATCTGTCAATCCTTTCGTGTCATCAATTTTCCGAGTGACACATTCAACAACCCTTTTAACGTATTCATTTTGCTGACACAGACACCAAGCGGATATTGCTCTTGAAGCCTTTTTTCAGAGGTAATGCCAGTGGTGTATCATACAGTATTCCTAACTCGAAGCACATATATATTTTGTGTTCAGCTATTCTATTATTATTTTTATTCTTTGTATTTTTTATATTTATCAGTAGATATCATTAAATCCACATGACTAATTCTTAAAAAAAAACGGCGTCAATTTAACTTGATATGTAGTAAGTTTATGATTAAAGACATCGATCTTCACTTGTAAGGTAACTTTTTTTGCCTTTTTATCACCAGGTATTTCAAAAAAGTAGTTATGTTTAGTAGTTATTTATTATGGAAATTATACCATTTGGCTGTTAAGCACACATAATGTTAAAAGTACCTACTTAGTATAGTGATTTTTATTATAAAATTGTATTTATGGTTTAAATTTTAACTGTATAGACACGTAAAGCAAATTTACTTGACTTAACTGACACAAGGCTTTATTTGTGTCAGTTAGTAGATATAATTAATTGTTAAGACACAATATTTTATTTGTGTCATAAGAGTTTATTATGTGTGGACAATGAAATTAAAGAACAAGTTGCAACAGAGACACCTTAGACAAGTCTTGGTGGTTCAACAATCTGGTGGTTCCATCACGTCTCAAACGTATCGGTCATGAAAAAGCTAACTGCGAGAGTATTGAAGTCATGGTTACAAAATCCCGCTTAAGATGGGCTTGTCATGTATGCAGAATGCAAGAAAGCCGCATACCAAAATCTCTGCCTTACGGTGAGCTTCTAGACGGTGAGAGGAGGCCGAGTGGACAACTAAAAAGGTACAAGGACATTTTCCACCAAAACTTAAAGGGGATTAACATGCAGAATGAGTGGGAAAAAGCAGCTCACAATAGAACTCAATGGAGAAGAGTTGTAAACTCAGTTAACAGCGACAACCAAAAAGTAAAGAGGCAACAAAGCAATGAGATTTTTGAATGTCCGGAGTGCGGTAAGCAGATAACATCACGTATAGGGCTTTTCAGTCACAGAAAAGCTCATGAAAGAAAACGTGACCATCATCTGATGCGTGTCGAATACTCGTCAGCGAGTAATGGCAGTATGTATGTATGTATGTATGTATGCGTGGACAATGAAATTAAAGAAATACACTAAAAAATATAGTGTTGAATTCAGCTTTAAAAAAGTATATATTAATATATTCCTGAATAATAATAATAATCAAATATATTGGACCGATTTCATGACTTTACCCATATTTTAATTAACAAAAGAAATTACCAGAGATATATTTTAAGGATACGCCACTGGAATAAATTGGAACTAATAACTTACTCGATATTCTGAAAAAAAAAGTTATCTTAGATATTGTAATAAATGGAAATTTAAAATGTTCTTTTTAAGAGAGATTTTTCCAGCATTATAATTTTCTATTAGCTTACAAGTCAGTTTTAAAGACGAAAAACTTTTTCAATTTTTCAGATCGAACGTCTTGTGCTGGTGCCTTCCTTGCTAAGAAGTTTGCTGCTGTATTTGAACTTGCAGGTAATTAATTATAAAGCACTAAGTCGGAATAAACGAATCTACGATTTGTTTCATGTTAAATTCTATATCTAAGACTGGCTTGAAAAAAATTTTATGTAAAAAACACAAATCTACTCAAAATTTTTAGGAAAAAAATACATTCCAACAAAAATATATATTTTCGCTTCTTTGAATGACATTATCCATCTTTACTGAGGCAAATTTGAGTGTAGTTAGAATGAAATGAAGGTGAAGATGAAGTTAGGAACAGAAAATAGAACTAATTTTGTTCATAAAAAATGTTATTTAGTATAATATATAACTATCAAACGAATAATTGACATTTTTTGCTTTAGAAAAACAGGAAAGCCCTGAGATCGTTGAAAACATGGGTCTGTTCTGGAGAAACACTTGCCGTATCTCTGGCAGAAGAATTCTTCCAGCACTTCGAGGAGAACCACCATCAGCTTTGCAACTTCTACGGAAGTACGGAAATAATGGGTGACGTCACGTATCACGTGATCAACGCAGCTCATCAATTGAGGCACGCGGAAAAAGTTCCTATCGGTAAGAATGAACTTTTTTTGAATAATGTTACAATGCACTTGAACAATTTTATTAAAGTTTATTAAATGAGGTTTTTGCATAGTGCATACTGCTTATAATTTTAGCTTTTTGTTGACCTTTTCATTGAAAAGGTAGCATTGTAGCGTTTTCATTGAAAAAGTATTTTCAGCTCTAGATTTTTTTAAGAATTTCTAGATATTCTTACTCTTGTTCTCTCTAATACCATTAAAAATTATTCGATTTAATTAAAGGCCATCGATAATTTTAATCTAAAACCAATTAAAAATAATCGTCTGATAACGATCGTGGTTTCTATTAAGCATAAAGAGCTATAACGCTCTTAATATATATTTTAATTTTCTACGGTTACTTAACTAATATATTTATTTAGTTTACCTTGCCCTCAATATGCAGTGCCAATATGGTTTTGCTTGGGTGGTTTCACTGAACTTTAGATTCTTTGTTTGAAAATTCATTAACAATTATTTTTTATTAACAAGATTCAATAACTTCACACGATACAGAGTGAGACAATTTAGAACAATGGTCACTTATAGGTTTTATACAAGTTATAGTCTCTTATTTTCAATGCGACCACCAGTATATTATTATTGAAAACACTTCCTCTAGTCCCTTAAGTCTCAAAAGAGTATGGTGACATCATGTTTCAATTGCGCGGATCGTTGTTCTCCATCCTTCTCTATCTTGAGGGGCTAGAGAAGGTTTTTGCAAACCGTGACCATTGTCAGAGACCTTCTTCTTGGTCGTTTGCCATTAATGTTTTCTTCGATAATGAGTTTTTCCAGTCCATCTGTTCTTCTTGAAATATGCCCAAAGTACGTAAGGCATAACTGGTTTATTTTGGTTGAAAGTTTTATGGTGACTTCCTATGCTTTAGAATTGAGACGTTGGTTGGTCTGGTTATGAAATTTGCAACATTTTTCTGTAGACCCGCATTTTGACAGAATCTATTTTTCTTTTTTTCTGTTGCGCTAGCATATTGCAGAACCTTTTCATATTCGAGCCAGGGTCATTGATGAGTTACGAGCTATTGCTAGTCTTTAATTTTAGTCTTAAGTTTGATTTCTTCGTCACAGAATGTCTTGTTTGTCATGAGTGATCCGAGGTAATTGACTTTTTAAGCATTTCAAAATCATCAATCTCCATGATGTTAGTAGGATGTCGATCTATTATTATAACTTACGTTTTTTTTTGCTCAACATAAGGCCACATTCTACACTAATCTTACTGAGTCCTCTCATTATTTAAACCAGTTCTTTGCATGGTTCTTCCATTGAACGGGCAAACATTAAGGTGTCGACCTGTCCCATCGTTAGTCCGCCTCGCCAGCTCTGTAAGACCCTTTTTATTATGTACTCTCCATATATGTTTAAGATTAAAGAACTAGTACTCTTAGTCGCATAATTTAAATTATACTCTTTAAAAAATATTAATAAGCATAATAAAATTTGAAATATTTTTAAAATTCTTTTTAAAATCTGTTTGTTAATTTGGTTTTATGTTTTTTTTTGCAGGTTTACCGATAGATAACACAATGCTATATCTGTTGGATAAGGATTTCAGACCTGTCAAAGCAGGAGAGGTGGGTGAATTGTTCGTTTCTGGACTGAATTTGGCTGCAGGATACGTCAACGGTAAATAACAATAGACTTTTTTCATTAAAAATCATAAGGCATATGTTAAACCATAAGATGTGTTTAAATCCAGTATAGACTTCATAAAGTTTAACGTTTTTGATAAATTTTATGAGATGCTAAATTTTCTTTATATCCTTTTTTATATTTTTATATTTTTCTTTCCTAGTTTATATTTTAATAGACATAGTTAAACTATTTTTTGCTCTTTATTGTTATTTTTCTTTCTCATCTTATAATGTAAATGGCTGAAAAATTGGTGACTTATATTTATGAAATAGGTACGATTTTTTATTCTAAATTCATATATTATACATAAATATATATCAAAAACAAAAAGAAGAATCATCTCGTTTTAATTCTCTAATAGAAAATACATTTACTATCTAACATACAGGGTGTCCCAGACATAAGTGCAAGTATTTTACTCGTAGTATAGTTTAACCCCAGAAACACACCTATGAAGTTTTTTTCGCGAAAATACATTTTTGAAAATTCGAAATTTTTTGAAAAATATTTTCGAATTTTTTTTAGTTTTTAGCCAAAAAACATAACTTCTTGATAATATGGCAACATAGGTATTAGATTAAATTTACAAGAAAGAAAATCCAGAAAATATCCAGTGGTTCTCAAAATTTTAGCAAAAAATATTTTTTTTTGGAAATTTTCAAAGTAAAATAACTCCGTTATTTTGGACGAGAAAATATGTTTCTTTTATCGAAATCTACCACCCCTTAAATTACTTGCACTTATTTCTGGGACACCCTGTATAAATATAAAAATGTATGTTGATAATAAAACGTCTTGTTTTTCTGGCATTGATTCTTTGGACAATGTTATAAAGAACAACTGCATTTATGTATATTATATTACAATAAATATATACAATTTTAGGAAGAGATCCAGAGAAATTTGTTGATAATCCTCTGGCAATCGACCCTACCTTTTCCAAACTCTTCCGAACAGGAGATTTTGCCAAAATTGAAAAAGGAACCTTACTCTACGAGGGTAGAACAGATTCCCAAGTCAAAATTAGAGGCCACAGAGTTGACCTGAGCGAAGTAGAAAAAGCCGTAGCCTCTATTGATGGCGTAAGTTACCAAAAATTGAAAGAATTTGAAAATGGTATCTAAAATATTTATATTTTAACAGGTTGACAAAGCAGTGGTCTTGTGCTACAAGCCTGGAGAAGTAAATCAAGCTCTTCTCGCTTTTGTCACTACGCAGTCGTTACTCAGCGAGCACCAAATTGAGATAATGCTCAGAGATAAATTGACGTCTTACATGATTCCGCAAGTTATTCTGGTGGAGAGTATTCCGTTGCTGGTCAATGGGAAAATTGACAGGCAGAGTCTTTTGAAGATGTACGAAAATACTAATAATAATGGTAAGTGGTGACTGAAATAGTACTTCTATTAAGGCTACTTTTTCTAGAAACGATTTTGCTCTACTAAAATGTTTATTAGTTTCTAATATGACAAAAAATACATTCAAAAACCCCCAAGGCCGCGTTATAGGAAAAATTAAGCATCAATTATATGCTTATTTTGACTTTAGTGAAATTGGCGTATTTTTTTAGACGATTCTGCACCTCAAGTCGATATATGCTACGATGGAGTGCCTGCCCATCAAATGAAAGCTGCCAAAGATCTGTTCGAAACTGTGGCTTCTGTCCTGGGCAGAAGTGCCAGGTCTGCTGTCTCAATCGACGCTAACTTCTACGAAATTGGTGGCAACTCTTTAAACTCCATTTTTACAATCTCCAGATTGACGCAAAAAGGATATCATATAAGTAAGTAAATATAAGTAACTTCAGAACAGTGAAGATATCATTAATTTATATTCCATAAGTTATATCATTTTAATCATTAATCTACGACAATGTCATTATCATGGTGTCATTATGACATATTTAACATTGTCATTTGGATGTCATTATGACTTTCATAATAGCACTAGTGCAGAATTCATAACACGCAAATTTTAAAATAAGAAACAAGCAAAAAAAGGTACCTAAATACGTTTATTTATTTTAAACATTCATTATAATATCAGTACAATTGGTTAAATTAATTCCAGATAATGATAGGTGAGTTGAATTTTTAGAAAGTAAATTTATTTCCTGAGTGCTTGAACTTGTTGAAGACCCATCATTGCCAGAAATGTTACCCAAAATATTACATGACACTTTTTTCTTATTCTCTTTGGAATTTTCTATATAGCTCTCTGCCACTGTGTTAGAGCGCCAACCACCATGTCTTTTAACAGTTAATTAATCCACTCCTGAATCTGCAAGCAACGACGCAGACGATCTACGGAAACAATGTCCAGTGTATTGTTGTGGATTTGGAAGACTTAGGAACAATGCTATTTTATACGGCATTTTCCCTAAAGTATTAATGCCAACGGGTTGCTTAATACATTTTCCATTTCTGTACCCCACAAAAAATCGAGTATGCTCTGTGTTGCTTGGCCGCATAGCTATATATATCTTTGAACCATTTCCACCATATTTATTCCTTCAACATTCCCTTTCGTTATAAAAAAATCTCGTGATATCTTTGTTTTCGCAAATGGAATAATGACATGAATGCATTGTCCTTCATCTTTAACATTTTGCAGCTGCAGATTTGTCAACTGGATACGCCGGCAGGCTCCCGCAAGTCCCACTATCAATGAAACTTTTGTCAGGAAATAAGTTTTATCATCAGCTTCCAACAAAAAACGAGTTATGTCTTCTTTTCTTAAAATTCTCGATTTTTTTGACCGAAATCCTTCCCATTTTCTCTTTAGAAATGCAATTAAATGGACGTACTTACTAATATCTGTATTTTTCTTCACTGATATAACTGAACGTAGCATGGAATAATATACCCAAAGTGATGAAGCCTTCCTATGTTTTGAAAGATGTTCAAAATATGCCAGGAGAACCTTTTCGTTACTACTATTTATTATTTTCGTTCCTTTCTCTTTACACCAATCTTCAAGTTTTACATAGGCTTGCTCGTACGTTTGTCTTGATTTTTCGGGAAGTAGGGAATCGACAACGTTTTGCGCAATGCCTTCAATATCCGAAGGGACACTTTCAGAGTCAGAATCACCCATATTAATATTATTTTTTGCTTTTTGCTAAAACTGAACGTTTAACACAAAATTGAACATCGATAATTGAGTTGTCAAAGTCAAAATGGAAACAATCAACAAGCACGGTTACCACGGTGTCGACTAATATGGGCACCTGATAATTTTGAATTTTAGTTTTTATGATATTGATATTTTAAATTAAATCAAATCTCTTTGGATCGTCCCTCGTGTCGCGTCGTAGATTAAATTTTGAATGATACACGTTCGATACGAACTTTTTAGAACTTTTTATGATGTTCGTATCGAACTTGTATCATTAATAACTATAATGTGCTTTTAATTTTTACGGTGTATGTATTATGTATTTCAGATATCGGTGATTTTATAGCAGCTCTTGATTTTGGAGAGGTATTGCAGAGAATGGCAGAAGGAACTAAAATTGTTAAAGAAGCACCTAGCTATACGTCAGAGATGTTAAAATCAGAGCACAAAGAAATCGTTAGGGAGTAAGTTTCCAATAAAAGATAGTTATAAAATACAAAATATAGTTCGTATCAAATAAACGCCAGTCACGTGATTAAGCTTGACCGGTACAGCGTTCCCACTTTTACATATTTTCTTTTAATCAAAATATTTTAGGGGACAAAAATAAATTAATTATAAATATATAAACAATTATTATTTACATTAACAAAACTCACCTTCTTAATAGCACTTAAGGGACATAACGTGTCATTACTACCGCTTTCCCGTTCAAAATATTCTAATAAAGTTGCGATAAAGATGATAATGATGATGATGAAGTTGGCAACAATGAATTTAAAAATCGCGCCCTCGATTACGTAACTAAAAGTTTAATTAGTATCGAATATATATAAGTATATCTTTGAATCTGTCTTACTTAATATTATCCATTTTCCAGTATGATAACAACCAGTTTCTACCAAAAAGCCGACCTAGAACAATGGATCATATCCGATATATCCATATCAGACTACAAAGAACTAATGGATGCCCTCTGGGAACCCCTGCTACAGAAAAACCTAAGTTTCATAGCTAAAAACGAGGAAGGCAAAATATGCGGAGTTGCACTCAATTTTGACGCTCACGATGAGCCGGAAGTTGAAATCAAATCAAAACTAACCGTGATATTTGAGTTCCTAGAAAGTATTGAAGGCCCAGTAAGGTAAAACTTCTTTTTTATGTTAAAATAAAGAAATATTTATGGTTACCTTTTTTAGAGACAAACAATTACCTCTGGGTAAAGGAAAAGTGCTGCACTCCTTCATGATGGCTACCCATTCTTCATTGAGTCCAAGGGAAAACGTTTCTGTGTTCCAGTTTATGGAAAATGAGGAATTGAAGCTTGCCAGAAGTAGGGGATTCGCGGGAATATTTACCACAAACACAAGTCCCTTAACTCAGGTAAATCATTTATTTCATATTCATATACTTCATACCTCAAACCACTGTATAAGTGTAAAAAAGGTGTTGACAATAATTCACTAAACAAAGATATAAACCACATCAAAAATATTTTAATAAAAAAACAATTATTCACCACCTCTTATTGACAAAACATTAAACGAAATACAAACCTAAACCATAGGCAGAATACACAAAATCATAATAAATAATAATACACAATATACAACTTACAATTCCAAACATACGAGGCGTTTCGGAAAAAATAAGAAGGATAGGAAAACAATATAACATACGAACATCCTTCAAAACATTAAATACACTTAGATCCATTTTAACACACACCATGTGAACAAACTAATGAACACTGGACAATAAACAAAAAATGTAATATACAAAATACCGTATGGTCGAAAAAAAATGGCATCCAGTTGGTTTGGAAATGACGATCGATGACATTTCCCATATAATCTATACTAATATATAAAATCCTTAAGTGACTGACACACTGATTAATCACGATCCTGCTCAAACCATTCAACATAAGAAGCTAAATTTTGGCATACAGGTTGATTCTAGGGTGTAGAGGTTCGATAAGAAGGGATTTTTCGAAATTCCAGTTCAAAGGGGGTGAAATCACCCCACAAATATTACAATATTTTTTATTTAAAAAACGATCATGTTTCCAAAAAAACGCTTAAACACGTTTATTTTATTTTGTTTTTTTTACATATTTTAAGATTTTTTAAAAATGTATACAGGGTGTTTCGAAAAATCTGGTCATTGATTAATCACGATCCTGCTTAAAGCACTTGACGTAAAAAGCTGATTTTTGGAAAACGGATTGACTTTAGGGTGTAGAGGTTCGATAAGAGGGGATTTTTCGAAACTCGAATTCTAAGGGGGTGAAACCACCCTTCAAATATTAGAATATTTTTTATTTAAAAACCGATGAGTTTTTCGGAAAAACTCTTAAATATGACTATTGAGTAATCAGGATTCTGCTTAAACTGCTTGACGTTTAAAGCTGATTTTTGGTAAACGGATTGACTGTGGGGTGTAGAGGTTCGATAAGGAGGGGTTTCTCGAATCTCAAATTGCAAGAGGGTGAAAACGCCCCTCAAATATTACAATATTTGTTATTTAAAAAAAGGTTAGTCTTTCGGGAAAACGCTTGGACAAGCATAATTCATTTGGTTTTTTTACATATTTTGAAATTTTTTAAAAAATCTTACAGGGTGTTTGGTTTGGTTTGGTTATTTTTGGCAAACGGATTTTTTGAAAGTCAAATTCCAACGAGATGAAAGTACCCCTCAAATATTACCAAGTTATATAATAATATCGCCATATTGTTTTTTTTCATGCTGACATAAATGTGAGAAAATTTTATCCAGTTTGTATGTTAATGGAAATTCTTGCTTTGCTTTATCATCACCATTACAAATGATTAATTCGACGCGAACAAAGCCGCTGGTACACGCTAGTAAATAAATAAAACAACGCTTTATTGTACAAAAAGCCAAAATAGCTTCATCGACAAAGCAATTACAAAACAAACAAAAGCACAAAAAATATACTTATAAAAAAAATATCATACAAAATATAGAGAAAGATAATAAAAAGATACCTAGTAAATGTATTACTTTTTCTGTTATAGACTTATTTGTTGAAAAACACTAAAGAAGTGTTCTTGAATAGTTGAAGAGTTGAAGTAAATAATGTTCTAAGTGCCAAAAATCGATTTGTCATGTTTTATTTGTAAAATGTCCTAAGTTCCATAACCAACAACATATACAAAGGTCTAAGTGCCACGGCTATTAAATTGTATTGAGAAATCAAAATCAAAAATTTTCAACAGAGATACCGTCCGTTCTTATACATTGGTTATAAAACAAAAAATGTTGTTTATCTCGAAATAATGATTTTGGCACTTAGTTACTAGTTTTTCATTTCCTTCTAATATAACGATATATCAATTCAGAGCAAATTAATTTTATTTGTTAAAGTTCATCTATGTTTTCTATCTCGCTGAAGTGCTATACTATTTTCCAAAATGCTAATCATATGTTATTTCAGCAACTTGGAAGTGATGTCTACAAATACCAATGTATGCTGGACTACCAAGTGAACCAATTCGTAGCCAGTGATAACACAAAGCCTTTTGGGCTAGCTCCAGACGACCAAAGAGCTATAGTTCACTGGAAACCACTGGAATAAGTATTACAGAACCAGCAGTTACCATTAAGACATATCCAAGTTTTCTTCAAAACAAATAAAATATGTTTTTTCATTGACGACTCGGACTATGCTCAATTTTATTTGAATCTAACTATTTAGATGTTGTTTTCATTCATTGATAGATGTTTTTATGTCAATATTAACGAATCAATAATGGTGACATTTATTCAAGATATTTTTTAAATATCTAACGGAAAGTATTGAATTGTGATAAAATTATAAAAAGTTCCAATTATTTATACATTTTTCATTCCTTTATATATTATAGAATGATATTTTAACAAACTTCACTGTAAAATAATGTGATTATTATATGTATTACTTTATTCTTTTTTTACTAAATTGTTTAAGGCATGTTATAATTTGGAATTGTTGCTCAAATATTTGGTTTATATTGTTCTATTTTTAATTACTAAGTTAAGCTTAATGTTAGTTTAGGTTGTATTAAATTCGTCATTATTTATTTATTTGTTATTATGAAATATACAGTCTTCTACCACAAATAATCCAATAAATTATTGTTAAATGTTGTATTACATTATACTATAAATAAATATATAGTCGTGATTATTTTTACTTATTGGAGCTTTTCTTTTTGTGTTATTTGGTTGGTTTTATTGATTTCCAAATTGTTTATTCTATATGCCATACAATCGAAATAAAAACGGCGTTAGAGTTGGCTTCTAAATGAAAATCGCTGTCAATTTTTATGTTTTATATTGAAAATTCTAAGAAATAATATAAAATTGGAAATAGTAGGTGCATATATTTGGGACAACTAATACACAGTTCGGGATCTCTACTACCAGAAATCAACTGAAGAATTAAGTTAGCATGGAGTAATTATGGAAGAAACTCAATCATATTTAAATCTAGAATGCCACTTTATCTAATAATAATAATAATAATAATAGCTCCCGTATATAGCGTTTGACGCCTTGGGAGTAGCAAGGTACAGCTTGCCATACTAGAGCCGTTCGGTATACAAGGAAGGTAATGTGGCTAGCATTACGCTTCAACCGCCTATTATTACCTCAGGATTGTGAATCCCAAGTACTCATTTAAGGCTGAGTCGACCTAGGTACCCAAACTATTTTTATTTTAATAAAAATAGTCGGCTGATGAAATGCCGGGTGTGGGATTCGAACCCACTACCTTGAGATTGGTAGACGAGAGTCTGTACCTCTACGCCACCGGGCACCTATACCCACTTTATCTAAAGAAGAAAATATTCGATCAATGTGTATAGTCTATAAAATGAATAACTTTGAATTTTGACCGTTATTTTTTACCAACATGCAAATATAAAATCCCTCTGTCAAAAAAGTTACTGATATTCTTTAAATTGAGTGCCTGAACGAATCAGATAGGTAACTCTTTTTACTTTCATGAAATAGAAAAGGAAAATAATAAAACAAGTGACAGTTCTTCCTCTTCTTGCAAAAGTCAACACGAAATGTCATAATGTTAAAAGTAAAATTTCATCAGCTTTTGACATTTTTAAATATCACACCAATGCCGTCTCTAATAGAACAGCCACGAAGCGAGATTTATGACGTCACGCTAGTTAGATACTACGGATTAATAAATATGTTGTAGAATACATGGAAAAAATAATTATTCCTCGTATTCGGGGTTTGTATTTTAAAAATTATAGAGTTTACATGAAATATACATAATATACAGTTAATAAATACAATATATATATATATATATATATATATATATATATATATATATATATATATATATATATATATATATATAACAGTTAATAAATACAATATATATATATATATATATATATATATATATATATATATATATATATATATATATATATATATATATATATATATATATCTGTACCCCAGGATAAAAGTGTACTAAGTCCAAATTATCGATTTTTGGGAAAAGCCAATTAAAGAGTTATTTTTGCAATTTTGTTATTTTTCCGATTTGTTTATTTTATTAGAGCATTCAAAATTTTTATAGGAGAAATATTACTTATTATTAATAGGTACCCAATACAGTTTTAAAGAAAGTGAGTTTTTACTTGGGTTTTTTGGAGTTAGATTTTTTTTTGGACTTAATATTATTTTGTTACAATGTTATGTGAAGTAATAGGACTTGATACTGACATTGTTTTAATACAAGCTAGAGAAACAATGTGTTAAGTAACAGTACTGCTTTAAAAAAATGTCATTTTTTGAAGTTCGGTGGTAGATTTTACCGATCAAACCTAAGCTTCTCTAATGGCCTAAATTTCCGATAGATTTTTGAAATTTATTAACACTAGGGATTTTTAATAATTAAAAAATTAAAGTCGAGTCATCCAATTTCGTTTAAATAAAAGTAATGTAACTCTTTTCAACAAGATTTTAATAGTAAATTTAAGGTATCAAACTAAAAAACATAAAACGTATTTTTCTTAAGTGTACCCACAGGTGCTCAACCATACTTCATTAATTCTCATCTTCGTGTTGACCATCTTCTACATTTGCGTGCTTTAAGTTTTTGTAAAATTCGTGAAACTGTTTTGGTATCCACTTTAACAATGTTTGAAGATGGTTAAATTTTTTTGAAGATAAAGGATTAGCTTCAAATCTTAAATTTGGAACTTCTGCGGGGAATGTTGCTCTTCTTCCGGTCCGAATTAAATCGATCGATTGGAAATTCATAGCACCAAAGTTGGTTTTAAAGTACAAAATTCCATGGTCTTCTGCACGCACTTGTAAAACTACAACCTTTGATATAGCGAAGTCACTACCTGTGCTATCTTTTTTTCGGGATATAAATGGCGCCGTAGAACTGCAAAACAATTGCTTAAAATCTTTAAAATCCTCTATTTCCATGTTTATGATTTCAAAGGGATTATTTATGCTGCACACTCGTGCTATTTGCTGTCAATCCAATGGCGTCATTATTTGAAAACCAACAGTCTTTTTTTTCTCGCGCTCAATTAGGGAATGACATGCGTCTACCTCTAGATGAGTATGGCCTCTCAATAAGAATTTATGCTCAATCCTTTTCAAAGATGGAAATTTTTTGAGAAGATAAAAATAAGCCATTACCAAATTAAATTTCGGTTCTGGGATGGGAAGTTATCGGACCAGATAATTAGATTTCGTGAGTTGGCTTTATATTTGACATTGCCCATTTTAACATTCCAGAAGCCATCTCATTAGCACCACGCCCAGATTTAGATTCGTCCCACATTACACATGTAGTGACTTTGTTGGTGACATTGTAGACGGTATAATTGTAGGTCCATAATTTCAAACTATAAAAAGCTTTGAGAGTTTGTTAACACTGGTGTAGGAAGACACTTCTGCATATCAACACAAACCATTATGCTTTTGAATTTATCTTCCAAATATTTTTGTTTATCTTCTTTCTTCAACTTATACCTCTTTTGAAGCTTCTTCTAAATGTAAATCATATTCCTTCTGCAAAGTCTCTTTTCTACTATACTAGGTTCCTCACGCAATTTTATTAAAAATGATCACATTGATCGCAAGTGTCATTATCTGGGTATTTGAAGGAGAGGTTAAATTCCGTATTAAAAATTTCAGCATATAACCATTCTTTGGCGATATGAGCCTGCTCTACATTATTTTCCTCACACTCTGCTTGATACATTCTGTACATTTTTGCGATGCTTAAATGACTTCCCAAAAATTTTCTAGCAGATCTTTCTCGAGAATAGTGCGATTCCTCAACTGGAAACTTCCCTATGTGCTCACGAACATGTTGCTTAACGAATTCAGGCGTTTTGGCGTGTTGGTCATGTTTACCTCTCCCATCTGCAGCAATGATACCGCCGGGCTCTTTTTTGTTTAAAGCAGTGGTTACAAAAGTTTGAGAAATATTTAAAGTATTATGAAAAAACGTCCGGCATACACGAACGGTCAAATCATTCATTTCAAAATAATAATTTCTGGTATGACTTCTAGCATCATTTCTAGCTCCGGTCCTACGCCTCTTTCTTAATATTGGGACAACTTTTACATGGGATGCGACGAACTGTCTCTTTTGGTTTATGTCTTTAGTACCATCCCAAAACCTGGCATGAATGTTTAATCTCTCCTCGTGGCAAACTTTTTCACTGCATTTAAGGCGGCAAGAAATATTACAAGGCGGACCTATGGTTTTTTTAGAGATCACCTTCTTTTTTGATTTATGTTCTAAACCAGAAACTACTTTCATGTGTTGTTCATTGATTTTCCATTTTTTTTCTTGTCGTTTCCGCTTTCTACTCTTCTTATTATTATTTTCATTCCTTTGACTTGCAGTGCTGTCACTCGAGTGATGTGAAAAATCGTTGTCACTTTCATAATTTGGATCTAATAAACTATCATCATCTGACTCTTGCAATTCTGTTTCGTCTTCCATAATATTAGTAAGGCCTATCATTTGTTCCCTCTTATCGCTTGTATAAATAGTTAATTTAGACCTGCAGGATGGGCCATCTAAAAGTGCAAGAGTATTAGGCCGCATAAAACAACGCAACTAGAATACAATACCTTCGGCCTCACTGTGATATTTTTCATTTCCGTCACCACTGGGCAAGTTTTCATTTATACAGGATGGGCCTTCTAAAAGTGTAAACGTATTAGACCGCATAAAACGACGCAATTAGAATACTATACTTTCAGACTCACTATATTTTCCATTTCCTTCACCACTGGGCATATTTTCATTTATGTTGACTGTGTCAAGATACTCAAAATCGGCTACTGTATAACTAATTTCTTCTACCGGAATTTCGCTATTTCGGGTCTCTAAAAGTCAAGTTGGTGTTAAAAATAGTAAAATTAAAATGGCACTATACCTTTAATAATCCCATTTTCAGGTGCTACAAGCTATTTCTACTGCAATTATTATTTTTTGCTCAATTATTAATTTTATTTTGAGGTTAGGATAACTTACCATCAGAATTTTCAGGTAGTTTAATACTACTTCCTTCGTTTTTCAGCAGACCCAGAATCCTTTTGCTTCTTGAACTCATGCTTACAAGACACTCTTTCTATTAAAATCACTAAACAGGAATAAATTATTGTTTATGCTTATTAACCACTGATGCACTTCATGTCCAACAAATAACTGCCGATATTGTGGACTTAATACTGTCTATGCCATCATAACATTAGACAAATATGGACTTAATATTATATTTTTTCACAGGTGCCGGTAAGAAAGGGTTCTATTCAATTTAATATTGTTTTCTTCCGGGACATATTGTGACTTAATACGGTTATAAAAATGTTATTTTGTTTAATATTGTAGATAGAACTTGATACGGTTTTGCATATTAAAGTGAACTAAATATTTCACATAATGCAGCAAAAATCCTATTTTCGAGAAAAGTGGACTTAATACACTTTTATTCTGGGGTACAGATATATATATCTATTTATGGTAATAAATTGGTTGGTTAACTTTGGCAAATAAACCATGAACCATGCAAATGCAGCAAATGTTTTACAATATACAAATAATGAATCGGTACATAAGATAATGGGTAAAATGTAAAATATATTTTAAATTTTGGGGTTTGAAAATCGATCTAATTA